GGGGGGGGGGGCGCAGGTATGTTATCGCCGCCTGATGTGCGTGCTCCCCCTTGGCACGTCTACAGGGCCTTGGATGCCCCCTCTTGCCCGCGGTCTCTTTTCCTTTCGTCCTTGGTGCCTCGCACTCCCTCTCGCATTGTCCCCCTCCCCCTGTGCCTCTCGCTCCCCCTCATTCTATCGGCCTCTCCGATGCCGGTTATGGCTCCATGTCGAATGCTGGGAGTCCCGTGCATCACATGATGGCCGGGACAGTGTTTTGCCTCTTCCCTTGGCAATGCGTCCGAGGAATTTCTTCCGGTGGCTCGGCAAGGCGAGGGGGATGGCCCTCGAGATGCCCGAGGATGGCGGGCCAGAGGCCGGCGGTGGGCTCTTGATGCATGTCGCGGTACAGTGTTTGGGCCTGTGCTCTGCCGCCCCGGTGGGTGGTTGGTGCGTGTGGCCCTGAATGGCGTGTTCCACCCGGAAGCGCGCCAGAGTTGAAGCTTGGATGGCCAAGCGCCGGGTGCCAGCCTGACTGCGTGGCGCCGAGCCACAAGTAGCGCGGCCCGTCCATGGCGGCTCATCGGGTGCGCGGGGCGCCTCGTCCCGCGCACCCCGGTGCTGCTCATCTTCCGCAGCACTTGGCGCGTGGTTGTCAAGGTGGCCTGGGACAAGGCGTTGTTGTCGCGTCTCCCTGGCATATCGGCCCGGCCCGGCCCGGCCCGGCCCGGCCCGGCCCGGCCCCCGGGAGCCAGTACCGGGGGCGGCCTGGACCGGCGCCGCCCCCGAGCGCCCTCAAAGATTAGCATGCCACACGGAGGACCAAGCAGAGTCAAGGAGGCCGGGCCCGGGGCGAAGCATTATCGGGGGCTGGCTCGAGCTGACGACACATGCTCTCTCTCCCTCTCTCTCTCTCTCTCTCTCTCCAGGGCAGCCACCTGGGCACGCTGGCTGCCGGCTAATTGTCCGGCCTCTGTCGAAGGTCTCTTGCGCCTTTCCCTCGAGAAAGCACGCCACCATGGACCTTAATGGACACATTCGCGCTCACTTAGATACATGCAAACGCACACGCAAATGCACACAAACAATCGGCCAACCGGCTCGGCCATCGCGCGTCCCGCACCCTCCCGGACTGGGACCGCATTGGCTTGAGCGGTCGGGGCGCTCGGTAGGCCCCGGGCCCGGTCCCGGTCCCAGTGGGCCCGCCTGGCCAAATGCCAGCCTCGGCCCGGCCGACTGGGCACATCCGTGGCTGCTGGATTATTTAGATTGCAGCCAGAACGTCGCTCTGGTGGAAGATCCGCCGGCGGTGGCAGGCGCGCGGGCTCGTCTGGTCGGCGGGCAAAGGGACGCCCACAATGCCCGGTCCGTCCGCCACCTCCTCCCGATTGAGCGCACAATCTCGCCGAAGTCTTAAAGAGGGGCGGAGAACGAGGGCATCTAGGGCAACCATTGCCCTGCCCACAGACGTCGTGCGAAAGCCGCACGAATTGCTCGTGCTCTTCGATCCCGACATCGGCGCGCCGGTGATGCTGGCAGGGTGGGGGCATAAGTCCCGGGCTTCCGGCCGCAATATCCCCCTATGGTCCATGGCCCTGCGCACCGGCGGGCCTCTCCGGTTGCCTCTTTCCCTCGGATCCTACCGATCTCTCAGGATCATGGCTGCTCCACTCCCCTGGCGGGGCTTCGCTCGCAATGGCACAGACCCGCCCCCTAACCCGTGGCCCCGGCGCCAGGGAGACCTCCGCGCCTGGATCCATCCCATCCGCGCCCGAGTGGACCGACAGGAGGCCCTGCTGCCAGCTCCCGGGCGGTATATGCCTCGCTGAGCCAGCCGGTGGCTTGTTCGGCCCTTTCTTGCCGTTCCCCCGCTGGCGCCTCCTTCTCATGCATGTCCGTGCTCGGGAGAATGCGCCGAGGCCCGGCCCCAGCGGGACACAGGGCGGCAATCGAGGGCTAGGCCTAATGGCGTTGCATCCGTTGGCATGTCCATTAATTGCGGCTGATTGTGGGCTGGCTCCAATGCTTGTTCCTGAGTCTGTCCGCGCTGGCTGGAAGGGTGTCGTGTGACGCCGACGCACTGGGCGCGAGTTAGGGGGGGGGGTGGGGGGGGAGGGGGCACAGAGGCCACAGAGCGAGGAGTAGGGTCGACAAGGAGTTCGATTGATTGATCGGCTGCCGCGGACATGGCGCGCGTGCCGGGCCAACGGCACGGCCTGGCTTCCGGCACGACATATGGCCGCGGCGGCAAGGATGTGGCGGCCCTGCCTGGGGGGTGGCTGTGGTCCACAAGTCGCGTGCGGATGCGCCGGCTCTGCCAACAAAGGCAGCTTGGGTCGGTAATGGCTCGAACCATGGTCCGGCATGTTTGCATGCAAGATGAAAGGCAAAGATTGGCCCTCCAGGGGGGGGGGGCTTTTGTTCGGCTGGCTGGAGGTTTGGGCTTTTCCCGGTGACCGTGCTCGTGGAGGCGCCCATGCGCATGATGTGCATTGCCGGAGCGAGGCATGCGTTGTGCCGGGCGGTGTCTGCGCAAGATTGGCTGGAGGAAGAGTGCGTTTCACCCTGCTCAAGGAAGCGAAAGCGGGGCGCGCGATAGCCCCC